GGAAAGCTAGTAATCTGCCCTTAGTAAACACGGCCACTGTCAGAAGATTGGGAAATAAATACAAAGCCGGCAATTATCTAGAAGTATGTGTTCGTAGCTTGTCATTACTAAACATTTCTATAGGGCACAGGGAGCCTGGGATCACCGGCGGAGGGCGGGGGAGTGCACGGAGGCACAACATACAAGCGATCCGGACTGCTTGTATGTAAACAGCCATCGCTGGCTGTTTCAAATTCTTACCGTTTCCAACTCGTACGCACGCAAGCACAAGGGCGTTTTAAAGCGTCCACCCACATCTAGTAGGTGCCCGTCTGGCCGTTTTTGTCAAATTGGCACTAAACTCAAAATGCTCCCTAACTATTAACAAAAATGTTTGCATCACTCAGCTGATCCTCCAATCATCTCTGAATTGGTGCTGACACTGTCCTTCCTTCTGGATGGTGGCTACTTTTCTTCCCCATTGTCCCTGTGTGTGCTGTAAAGTAGTTACCGCTCCAAGCTCACTCTTGTGATGGACTAAAATTCAATAAAGATTAGTAAAGTAAGCGTGAGATTGTAGTCCATCACGGGATCAAGCTTGGAACTTTACAACACACACAGGAACCATGGGGAACAAAAGTAGCCCCCCTCCAGAAGGAAGGACAGTGTCAGCACCAATTCAGAGATGATTTGAGGATCTATAGCCGAGTGATACACAAATAAGATGCATTTTGGTGAATAGTGAAGGTATTTGAATGTATTATTAAGATTTAACTCCTGAGTTTAGTGTCACTTTTATACTAAACCACAGAGGGCGACCCTTTAACTATGGGGCAAAATGTAACCGTATTCAACAATAATAAACATCCTATACCTTATCACGGCAAGATGGACTTGTTTACTTTGTCTAATTTGACACTTGACAGTTAAAGAAAATACAAAAGCCACAACCAGCAAATGTATATACACCGTGTCATTGAAAATAAGCAAGAATTGCACAAAAAAAAGTCAGCGTGACCTCAAATACTTTCGGAAGAGAAGGGAGAGAGGGGGAAAAAGACATTTAGAAAGCCCAATTCCTTCCATGGTCAACCCATTTGGCCGCATTTCAAAACCATTTTACATAAACACAGTTAAAGACCTGTTTTGAGTTTCTTTTTACGTTTTTACGGGCCAACAAAAATAAAAGTATATTTTTACATGTTTCGTACATGTCAGTTTGTTGTCATTATGTAGTGAGACAAGGAATACACAAAAAGAAGGGAACAAAAAAAAACACAGACGCCAGTCACAAACTATATTTAAATAGCTGTGAACAGCATTGCTGAGAATTATGCGCATTGCAGCAGTTGAGGATCTGTGTTGGTAGCGTTTGGCCATACGTTGCAAATGAACATTCTTAATTTCTGCCGAACGATCAAGGAAGAAATCTGTCTGTACTTTCGTGTTTTGTTTTTTCTGTTTATTTGACGATTAAAAAAATGTGTTGAGCAGCATTTAAAGAACCAAAAAAAAAAACGGCATCTCCCTTTGATTTGATTTATTCCGTGAGCAAACATATGCTATGTGTTCTGTTATATATATCTAAAACTCAGACATAATCCACAGAACATTTGTATAATATTTTGGTCTGTATTATTATTTTATTTTATGGTTTGACACCTTATTGGGTTAGTACAGGGACAGGCAACCTCCACAGCTGTGGTGAAACTGCAAATCCCACATGCCTCTTAGGGTCATACCTGTGACAGTCGGTCTTCCAATGCCTCATGGGATTTGTAGTTGCACCGCAGCTGGAGTGCCAAGGATGCCTACCCCTGCTCTACAGTAAGTTGTTTGACCTTTTTTAGGGTGGAAAGTGGGATCATTGGCGGAGACAAAACAAAAGTTGCGTTTTTTCATCAAATTTTATACTACAATTTGCTAAAGAGCACTGAAGGCAGTTAAAGGGTTTCTAAACCCGCCGGTTTTTTTTTGCCTATATCTACTGCTAGCAAGAGGTAGATATATGCAAAAAGTGGAAGAAAAAAACCCCGCTTTAACAGCAGTTTAAACTTACCCCGTTGTCGCCGCGGGCTCCCGTCCGAGAATCTGAAACTGCTCCGGCGGCCAAAAAGCATCCTGGTGCGGGCGCATACGCAGTTTGGATTTTCGGCCGCGAGACGAGCAGAGACACAAGGTAAGTCTATGGACGTGTGCACCCGCATGCAGATACTGCGGGATCGGAAGTGCCTGCAAGTAGAGAGGAGTCAGCGCTGGATCGGAGAGCCGCACCGCTGGAGGGACAGATGAAAACATCAGGAAAAAAGAGGAAGATCGGATTAAGAGACATCATTTAAGGTAAGTGCTGACATTAACATTGGGGGCGAGGGAAAACATTTTTTGACTTTAATGTCACTTTAAGATCAGAATGAACAGGCAGCATGCATTTTGATCCTACAGCAAACTCAGACACTGTGTGACTCATGTGTCTGCAGATTGCAGGGTCATACTGCAGCTTCCACCTTCCTTTCATGACTCTGGGAATCATTCCTGTGGCTGTCAAAGTCTTGAAATGCCCCATGGGACTTGTAGTTTCACAACAGCTAGAATGATGAGGTTGCCTATCCCTGGGTCAGTACTTTCTGATCTGACTACCAAGGTGTGACCATATAGCCTTTCTGTATTGAGGCTGTACTACAATTCTGTGATAGTTCCATGGCACAACCAAGAGTCACTCCTACTTTTACCGCCTCACTTATGAGCTTTCATGATAGTAGAAGTGAATCTGATTTGCTATACGAGTCACATGACATGTAATGCTTATGAATTGAGTAGTACTGTAATAATTGTGACCTAAAGTGATATTAAACACTCAATTTAAAATGTGATGTATACTTACTCCTTCAACTTTTGGTCTGAGAGGACGGGCAGCATGGGAAACAGGCACTGTAACGGTCACGTGACCACTCACGGCAGCAGTGTTATGTCCCTTATCCCACTGATAGCACTGTTCAAGCGAGCTCTTGTCCCAGGCCCGCCTACATCAGCACCATGTAGTCCCTCTCCATTTGATAAAGCAGTGCATGTGTGCCCTTCATTGGGTAAAATGTACACATCTTTGTCACATGACACGACCACCCTTACCCCTAGCGCTGTGAGAACAAGGCAGATGCATGTTCATTACCAACTAAGGTGCGTATGGAAGGGTGGCTCCATTGGACCCTGCAGCATACTATAGGACTAACCATGTTTGCTTTCAGTGTGCCGCCTGTCATTTCTTTGCAGTGTTCATTGGAAGCCTCTCTGTATTTCATTACTGTCTTGAACGTGGCTCCACTGCCTTGCAGGGTCCAATGGATCCACCCTTACGTACGCAGCTTAGCCTGTGATGGGCACACATGTGCCTTGTTCTCATGGCACTAGGGGTGAGGGTGGCCATGTGTTGTGACTAAGGTGCATGAGCTTCAATCCAGGAAGGGCATGCATGAGCTGTTTTATCAAAGGGGCAAGAGGGACAACATAAAGCCGACATGGGTAGGCCTAAGCTATTTTTTTGTATAAATTTGGCATGTGTCTTTAAAGCTGGGTTCACACCTGGGCGTTTTTCAGCACTGATCGAAGCGCTGCAAAATGCTCAGCAAGTGAAATCCCATGAATCCCTATGGGCATGGTTCCCACCTGGGCGTATTTTAGCCAGTAGAAACGCGCTGAAAAACGCCCTACGCCCAAACAAGTACAGGAGCTTCTTTGGGGTGTATTTCAGCGCGTATCCATTGGTATTCCTGAGTGTGGATCGGGGTTAACAAAGCGCTAACCCCGAACCACACTCGGAATACAGCATAGGTCTTACCTTGTCCGCGATCCCCGCTGTGTCCTCCGACCGCTGTCGTCTTCCGGGTCTGTCGTCTTCTTCCCGAAAAAGAAAATAAAGGGGAAAAAAAATCATACCGCCAGGGAGGTATAAAAACGCATGTTTCACTGAACGAAAAAACGTGCTAAAAAACAAGCTGAAAAACGAGCAGAAAAAAAGGCGCCTATAGTACGCCCAGGTGTGAACCCAGCCTAAACGTGACCGGTTTTGCTGGTGATACATTATGAAATCTGAACTCCGGGCATTATGCAAAAAACATCATTTAATCTAGTTATGTATTCATAAAAAAATAATTAAATGTATTTTTTCACATAGATCTAGCATAAGAAAGTGAATCAGCTTTGACATCAACCTCCTCTAACCCCCTGCTTAGCAGCACTCAGACTGGGAAAGGCCGGGGCAGAGCTCTGAGCTATTCAGTTGATATGCACATCAAAGTAAACCTGTAAATATGCTTTGAATTGGAGAGAACATAGGGATGACCTAATCAGTATGCTGCTGCTCCTACGTTGTCCAATCACAGACTGGGGCAGGACCCGTTTGTTTAACTACACTGTAATCTGCACAGAGGTCCAGGAGCTGCCTCTGTTATGCCCGGATATGTACCTGGATCACAATGCTGGTGGAACAGATTGGGAGAGACTGGGGAAGAGCTTTGAGCTATTCAGTTGATATGCACATCAAGCTAAAGCTTTGAGTTGGAGAGGACATAGAGATGACCTAATCAGTTTACCACTGCTCCTACGTTGTCCAATCACAGGCTGGAAAGGGTTCCGGTTGTTTAATTACAGTGTATTCTGCAGGTCCAGGAGCTGCATCTGGTATGCAATTGCACCTGAATCACAGTGCTGGTGGAACAGCCTGGGAGAGACTGAGGAAGAGCTTTGGACTATTCAGTTGATATGCACATCGGTAGGAGAGAACATAGAGATGACCTAATCAGTATACTGCTGGTCCTATGTTGTCCAATCACAGGCTGGGATGGCTGCAAGTTGTTTAACTACAGTGTAATCTGCACAGAGGTCCAGGAGCTGCCTCTGGTATTTAAATGTACCTGAATCACAATGCTGGTGGAACAGAATTACAGATCGTTTGTCAGATATTACATGTATTCCAATGTTGTGTGCAGGAACTTTCTAAGAATTACTTATATGTTTTCTATTTACAGGTTAGAAGCCGTTCACTGTGGCTGTTACCCCCTGTGCCCGAAGTCTTTGGTATACCCCGAGATCTTCCCAGGTAGGAACACCTCCTCTTCTCTGCCGCAGCACAGCGCTAATCCCCCGGCGGGGTTTAAGAGCCTGGAAACCAAAGTTATGCAAGAGCATTTGTTTATTTGGCGAAAGCGACATGTTAATGTAAAAAAATATATACGTGATATAATGCATTAGGCTGGGTTTATCCGTACCATCTGTTTCCCACAATGGCAAAATATTTAAAATATCTCTTTTGCATTAGTCTCGGGTGGGACGCAAGTTCTGTAATACAGCGAAGGAGGCTGACATGGACCTTATTGTGAATATGCACACAACTGCAGATGGCTACATGGATTTTATTCATGTTTATAAGTACACATATAAAGGCAAATATTTATATTACATGATATATATATATATATAATACAGAAAG